ATGACTGCATGGAGCGCCGTCAGCCCTAGCTTTTGCCAACCTAGCAGTTCAAAAACATGCAAATGTGAGTAGATCAATAGGTACCGCTCTGGCGGTAAGGTAACGGCGCTCCAATTTGGAGTAGACCCACTAAATCTATTGCATTTACCTCCTTGTTGATGCCCCATTGAATGACCAATTTAGTGGATATACAAGCATTGAGACTAACCAGCAGGACTCAAGTCAACACACTTAACCTTGTCTGGTTTTTGAACAAAACTGTTTGGACTAGAAAAACACACGTCTCTGTTGAATAATTAGTGAAAAAGGAAGTTTGCAGAGATAAGAAGGAAATAAAGGCCGCTCTGTTTTCTTTGGAAAGCGTGGAGCGAGCCAATTATGTTTTCTCTCCCACTGTTTATTAGTGTTTCACTTAAAAGCTGGTAGCAGAAATATATTTTTTCAAAGAAAGCTCTTTAATTATTGTTGTACAAGGAATGGCTAGAAAAAAATGCCTCTGCAGACTTCATTTTGTATGCATTGGTTGCTTTATGAATCTGTACAAGAGATCAAAAGAAGAGAAGCAAAAATTAAGAGAATTAAGTAGGTTTGCAAAGGCTATATTCAGCAACAGACCGCCATGTTGTTACTACATGGGGGAAATCGCCATTGCACAATGGAGGTGAGATGTAACAGGCACTGATATGCATCCAATGCTCTTTGTGCCCATCTAGACAAGGGCTAAGAACTGCTAAGAAGCATTGGTAGACTCTGATGCTCATTGATGCACAGCTATGTGCTACCAATACACATGGGTAAACTTATTGCAGTTTGCTAAGGAAGATACTGCAGCACATCTACTATATTGCTAGGAGTTCATGAAGCTCTGCAATGTGGACAATGATACAGAATCTGGGCTATTACTTTTATTATGAGGGTCTGGAAAGCATAAAACTTTATGAGGAACAGCCTAAGGAGGTGGTTAAGTTTAGCCCGGAGAAGAAAAGGTCAAGAGGGGGCATGATAGCTATCTTTAGATATCTGGAAAGAGATAGAGCTAGGTTGCTTTCTGCTGCTCTAGATATTAGAATGAGAGCTGATG